ACATCGCTGAATAACTGGACTCGCATGTTAGTGGTAAGATAAAGCTTTTCAACTTTAGACCACAGATATGAGGCTTTTAGACATGCGTTAATTTCATCTGCTGCAGTGCCTCTCTCGATAACAGGTAAAGTCTGTCTAAAATCCCCTGCCAATAACACTACCACACCACCCATCAACTTTCGATTGCTGTGAATATCTTGTAGACAGCGATCAAGCGCCTCAATGGCGCGTTTGTGTGACATAGTGCACTCGTCCCACACGATCAGCATACATTGTTGCAAGAGGGCGCCACGGGCACTGCTCTTACTGATGTTGCACGTTGGGGTTTCTTCGCTCGCCAGATTAAGAGGTAATTTAAAAACCGAATGTGCCGTTCGTCCACCGCTCAGCAATGTTGCAGCGATCCCAGAGGAAGCCACCGCTAATGCAACTTTACGGTCCTTACGAATTTTTGCTAGAAGCAAATTAAGCAAAAATGTTTTACCTGTACCGCCCGGGGCGTCAAGAAAGAAAAGGCCGCCTTTGTCAAGCTCAACTCGTTGTAATATTTTGTTATAAATGTTTTTTTGTTCGGGTAGCAGGCGTGGTTCAGTTTCGCTGACCTGAGCGTCTAATAAAGCAATATCGTAGCTTAGCTCTTTGATCAAATCGGTCGACAACTCTCCTCGACGCTCTGGTGTAGGCATACCGAAGTCAGACAATTTCTTACCGGAAATCGTTATTATTTTGTCCTCTATATGTCTCAGTGCTTCATTGAAACATAGATCATTGTTGACTTGATCCATCCTTTCAAATCTATGCAAGATATCCTCCGATAATGCAGATTTATACTTATCCCATAGTTGAAGAGGATTGGATAAACCGCAAGTGCATATCAATATTGCAAATAGTTCTCTTATTTGCGAAGGAGAGCGACACAGCACTGCCTCTTCCATTGTGGCATCCCAATGGTTGTCATCTTCCAACAACCCCAACTTCTCACACGCTTGTCGAAAAGTTTCAAGTTCTTGGCCGTTAACTGTTTTTAGATCCAAAAAGCTAGTGGGGCCCTGTACTACATTCAGCAGCATTCGCAAACAGTAACATTCGAAGTTACTAACATGCACTGTGTAAATGCGCCCAAGAGCATCTCCTGCCTTCACACCTGGCCATCCGTCGACAGATGTGCCTTGTAAACGACGTTTCCATTCTTTCGACGACACGTTCCATGTATAGTAGCGGGGTACGTCAACATAAAGTAATGTTTTTGCAAATGCGTCATTTTGGCAAAGCAGGAAAAATGCAGTTAGTGTCGTCTTAGGTGGTGCGGCCATTCTCTCTCTAAAATTGTTTTCAGTGAAGTAAATCCGCTGACCATTAGGCAGATGAACCGCAAGGTGAGTGACTGTTGGGTGTCTTTCATGCAGAGGCAGACCCAAGATCCGCCACGCTGCTTCGTTACTACTAACATATCTACCGGCTCGATACGTTTGCACCTCATCTCTCGGGTCAATATTAACATTCCCTTGCTGTCGAATGTTAAAAATAGCCTGGTCGCTGCCTTTGTTTATATATTTACAAATATATTTTATCGCCTGTACCGTATTGCAGAACTCTACATTTAAGTGACAGTTATAAATTTTAGACAGAAGAGGAGAATATGGGACAATCCAGCTATTGTCAACCAATACTTCCTGTGTTCCACCTCGGGTTTTTAGAGTTATCGTACGGCCACCATCTCCTGGTGTTCTACGCCTGTACAAAGGATAGCCTTTATCGTTAGTTTGAGTATCTTTCAAAAGCGCCCTTGGATACTTTTTGGTGCATTTTCCTTCTTTCATGCATGGTGATGACGGATTTAGTGCACCACAGGGACCGTGAATCATATTTTTGGTTACAGTATCGTAGAGTTTTCGATCACTTTCTGGATTTGGTATCTCCGCACTTATGACTTCATCAATTTGGTTGGGGCGTAATTTTTCCGTCAACCACAGCAGTAAGTGCACGTGAGGCAGACCTCTTTTTTGCCACTCGATCGAGTACATGAAACACTTCATATCTCCAAATATTTTACCTTTTGTAAGTAGAGCAACCAATTTTTGTACTTTTATTTTAAATAACCTGGCTGTTAAGTCATGTCTGTCTGTTGCATTTTGACCTGGAATGAGCTCTTTAGTAATTTCTGGCCAAGCGGGATTACATGTCATTGTAATAAACAGATCAGGCCTCCCGTAGTTACGCACGTATGTGAACGCATCCTGCGTGTACTCATGAAGATATCTCGGGCTATTTACAAATGACGATGGGAGTATTACCAATTGACCCAAATTGTTTGGATCTAAATCCGCATCATTCCTGACCGCGTCTTGTAAATGTATATAGTTTTCTGCTCGCAGTTTTGTTTGGTTTAAAGCAATAAACCTTAAGCGCTCACTCTCCACTTTGACATACATGTCCACCAAAAACTGAAGAAAGAGAAGCCTACATCGAAGCAATAAATTAAAATTGTTGCGACGTACCATCATATGATATGCATAAAAGTCTTTGCACGACACTTTTTTGTTCGGTATAGGCTGTTTTGTAACTGGGTTTGTCTGAGGAATATCAAAACTGTACCCCTCTTGTCCTTTCCAAAAAATTATCGGGTACTCGAGAGCATCATAAAATCTATGAGTGTCCGGAACTCTAGTAAGCCGGCCATCGTGCGCCTGAATAACAATGTCCCGAGACGCAGTTTGTTCAGTACTAACTACTACAGCAGCTATTTCGTTTGTGGTCGGGGCATTGAATCGTCTTTCGTGTTCACCACGTGGTACACGATCTGGGTGTATCACGACCTTGTAATTATCGCTAGTCACTCTATCTTTAGCCATTTTAAATTCACGCACTAAAACGTTGTGATCATGTAGAACTTTTTGTATTTTTTGAACTGTGTTTCTTTCCACACCTGGTACGTACTCAGAACGCCTATCAACTTGTGCTTCCTCATCACCCATGAAATAAACTTGCAAAAATTTTGGTTGCGTATTAGCAGCAGGAAGCAAAGAGCCAATTGTGTGGTATATTTGCCCTTGGATTGTAAAAGTCGGGCAAAATCCTGGCATCGACACAATGTTATCAGCTCCAAAAGATGTCATATGGAAGCATGTATTATATTTTCTTATGTTTTTTAAAAAACATAAGAAAATATAATACAATATAATAGTAGTAGGATAGGTAAAATTTATGTAAACACTGATATACGAGTCTAACTTTTAGTTCATACTTTAATGGTCCGACAAATCTGATTGATATTACGATAATAAAAAAAAAATGATATGCGACATAATTCACAAACGATTTTGGCGTATTTAAAAATAAATATTTGCGAATTACTATTTGTACTTTACCTTTTCACTTCCTTATTTACTGTTTAAGCATTACTTGTGAGGTTCACTCACCTACACTTTATTAGGCACTTAATTTTATTCCACAAGAAAAAACTAAAGATCGCGGCCAACCTCTGGTTCACTGACGTTTCAGTATAATTACATCTTTTCAAAATAGTCTCAATTTATATCAATACAACACTGCATCCGATGTAACACTGATAAAAGCACTTTTCATAGTACTCGGAATTAGAGAACACGGATATTTTCGAAACGTGATCACATCGACGACGTATGAACAACTGAATAAAGAAAAAGTGATAAAAAGGGAAAGCCGCCAATTGAGTCCTTTATTATAAGCCGCTGCATAGTGTGCGGCATGTCAAAGGCGCACAGAAAGGTACCTATAGTTCCGCAATTAAAATCAGAGAAGTAGCGGGATAGGGTTGCCATCTTCTCTTATTAGATCGGAAATTTTGTCCTTAAAGCCGGACTAAGTCAAATCTCTCGCGAAGCCGTAAAACAATATTACCGTAGTAGACAGTAATATTAGTTCACGGCTTCGCGAGGGTTACTGCCTAGTTATTCAGAGGGTGCGTTAAGCAAAAATCACTAACATTCAATTGATTTTGTAGTAAGACGTAACATACAAATAAGCGGTTATTAAAGATAAGATAACTACATCATAATTTTAACGCTTTTATCACAGCCAAAACGTGAATTCATAAAATAAGGCTTGATCGTAACATCAAAACTGCACAACCTATTTTGAAAAAGGTTTTTTTTTATAAAGTAATTTCGGAGACTATACGATGCAAACAAACTAACGATTTGTATTCAAATTTCGCAAATGCCCGTGCAACACTGCGTCTTTTTGGGTATTTGACGTTTTTCGAATTTGTGTGTATTCATAGTTTATTTGATATAGCTTCAGCACAGGTATACCAAAAACCTATGAAAACTATACCGCCGGACATGTGACATTAACATTTAGCTGCACACAATCTAAAAAGTCAAACATGTCCCGCTAAAGACGGATAGATGACAACCCTAGACAGGCGGCAATGTTAAAGTTTGAGCCTAAACTTCTAGTTGCCTAGTAACGAGGTGATCAACATTTTATTGTACAAATTAAAAAAATCGTCGCAGGACATTGTTGCAACTAATTTTTTTTACATACGTACGTAAGTACATAATACGTAACGTATTAGGAATTGTTAATGCAGGTGTCTAACAACAAAGGCAGAAAAGTCCAGTAAACATAATGTTGGGTAATTTATTAAAAACTTATAGCTTTGTAAAATATTTAGAAAGCTACTGTACTGATGTATTTCCATATTTAAAAGAGTAATCATATTAGATATTACCTATTTGTGTAAGTTAATACATATCAAAATAAGCTTTAAACTTAAAATACGTGATGGACTTTGCCATGTTTGTTAGTAAAGCGAGGACTTTTCTTGTTATGTTGTGAATGGTTAAGGACGTTACCGCTTTTGTTATAAATGAATATGGATTGTCAACTCCCAGGGCTGTCCAAAATAAGACATTAAATAAGAAAATCAAATTACTTTTATTTTCATAACGAAAAACAAATTAAATCAGACCTATCTAATCAACAGCGATAAGTAGCAAAAATGATATTATTTATTCTTAAACAATTAATGCAGGGTTCTCCACGCGGCACTCGCAGTAGCTTTCTTCACTTTCTGCGTTATTAATGTTTATATTAGGTTGATAGATAATATTTCTGTAGAAGCTTAAATCGTTGATCTCTTTCCAATCTGATCCATAATGTTTTGATAGTAAAGTAGACACATCATTAATCTTCTCTGATTTTACTGGTACACCTAATAACATTTCATTTGGCGAAATCATCATTATATTTTTTCCTCGACGACAAACATTGCGAATAGCTCCCATATTACTTTTATAAAATGCTTCACCCTGAACTAACGCATTATTGGTGTCTGTACGACATCTCTTGATAATTATACGCTTGGATTCCATAAATTTGAAATGCCACTGACCTGGCGGCTTCACGACTTGGTCCACAGCAGCTTTCCAATTGAGCACTTTGCAGTCACTCTTACCCATAAGTATTACAGTACCATGATTGGCAATAATATCATGATATTCTTGAGGTCGAATAATTACGTCTTTTCTTTTAATTTCGCGTTCTATGTGCCCAAAGACTCTATCTGAAGGTAAATATGAATGTCCTGTTATAGGAAAATATACTTCAATCTTTTTTACGCTTGGATTTAGTAGCAACCATTTACAACACATGCCAACAATAATCGTGTTTTTATTTTGACCTGCGCAGCCGTCAGATATCAATCTTACTGTATGGATGTTAGTTAGATCTGTGGCATTAAGCCGATGGTAGACTGCAGAAGCCACAGTATTCGAATCTTTGGAATATTCCTCCTCGCCCCATACATATGAGAAGACATTTTCTTTGGTTAATTTATCCTTTGAACTACCTTGTACGATGGTCAAATTGTAGACATAAAATTGTCTACTGTAATAAGTAGACTGATCGGGAAGCTTAGGTAGTGGTTGGTTTTTTTGACAATCAAAGGAAAATGTTACGATACCTTCGTTCTTTGATTTTAAAACATCGTAAAAAGCTTTTGCTCGTAGCGTGTGTACTCTTTTTAACGTAATTAGCTTATTTTTTTTAGCAATATCAGTTTGGACTTTAATTTTTTCTTGAAGCTGTAGACATGTGGAGCAAATGTCAGTTTTTGGTGACCCAAATCCAAGATTGAACTCAGTATTAAATACCTTTCGAAAGAGCGCTTTTGTCGAAATAGGCTGAATTCCTCGTTCTTTGTACATCTTGTAGATTTTGTTTATATTTAAATCTGCGGGTAAATAAAGGCGCGCGGAAGATGAACCACGACAGTAATGAGGTTCCGAACAATTTAAAGACTGGATAAAATCTCTTATCCCCTTTCTTTTCTCAATAAATTTATGGCTTTTGTGGTCACCTCCACGATTTTCCCTAGGACACTCTCCTGTTTCGAAATGTTTTCGTATCACAGTATGTACTCTGTGTTTTTTAATGTTTAAATAACTTAAGAAAACCTTTTGACACACGAGCATAGGTTTTTTATTGATTGGTATATAAAATTTTGTAGTGAACGTTTTCGGCGCACGTGTATTTGTTCGAGATCTTTTACGTTTTGTTGGAATACTCTTGGTGTATTTTAAGATAAGGGTGTCCTGTGATTGTTTTGTCGGTATTTTGTAAAACGCTTCATGAAATTTTAAAATATCATTCATTGATAATGAATTGCAATGGAATCCTTTCTTATGTGTGCAGGTAATTCGCTCGGGTAGCATTATTGGTATGTATCTAAAAAAAAAAAAGAATTTTAATCGATAAATGAGAAGCTCGATGGCGCAGTGTGTTAGCGCCGCGGCGTGCGATCGTTGATGTAAAGCAACGTTCGCAACGGCTGCTGACCAAAACCTTTTCAACCTCGAGTTCCTCCAAGCTTCGTTTAGCCGTTGGTCTCGGTTGTTTTAATTTTATGTGACGTCACATAGCCTATATCCAGCCAATGATCGAGACTATTCTATCGATACCCCAAATTGTTATAATTGTCAAATTATGATAACTCGTACTTTCGAAGTTATGAGGGAACAGATGAATATACATACACACGCATATACATACATGCCGTTCAAAATCATGAACCTGCGCGGTAGTGGGGTAATTATATCAAAATGAATTGTATATTTAAAACTTATAAGTACGTGAGTAAAATACCGACCGACTCACACTTGACCAAATTTTACCTATTATAAATAAAAACAGTTGTTCAACCCTTGCAAAATTAGACACTTACCTTTGTTTTTTAGCTCTGTTTTGCTTCCAATTTTCTGGGTTTGCAGCTTTCTTCCTTGCTTTATTTTTAGGCACAACTTTAGGGTAATAGTCCATCTTCAAAAAAATACGTTTTGTATTAGTTATTATCAATTTAAACACTTAATATTCATAAAAAAATAGGACACGCACAGAGTAATTTCTTGTCGAGCGGCCATTGAAACTGCTAACTTGCGATTGGTCGAAATGGACATTGCGACCTTTGTTATGTCATTCGGGGACTTTCCCGTATTTGTTCGGAAACGTCTCGAATAAGCATAGATTTCTTTGGGACATAGCCGGATTTCGAGGAAACGAATGATGTGGTTACGTCACAATGGTGTTGCTATTTGAAATAAAACAAAAATCAATGTTTCGTAATAAATGGGACTTTGCCGCCTTTGTTATTGGACCCCTGAATTGACAAAGATTTTGTAAATTTTTATTGTTGTTGATAAGATAGTACATGGTTGTATTTTTAGTGTTTACAAACTTAAACGTTGTTAATGTTTGGTAAATACTAGTTTAAGTGAGAAATGTGATATACTTTCACGCTGCACCTGCTAAAGAGCTCAGCTGCTTGACTCAGTCTGTAGAGAGGAAGTAGCATCGACTATCATAAGACATCGTTAAATAAATTAATTAATGTATTTCGTGGGCCGTAGTAATCTGCATACAATCGACATACCTGTTTAAAATTTTAACTCATTTTATACACCTTTTCTATTTTGAACTATTTTTCAAATAAATGACCATTTGTTTGTAAGCTGTGTCGGTCGTTTTAGGGCTTTTTTTATTTAAGGAAATAGGTAAACAGTACATACTAAAACGTCTCATTCATTTTCATTTCTTACAGCATTAAAATAGTGAATCCTATACTCTGATTCTAAAATTCAGTTGAATAGCCCACAGTAATAAAATAGATAATAAATTAAAATCCGTACCAAATGTTCACTACTACCGTATCTAGCGTCAAGTCGTCACTCGCGCGCGACATCACACAAACACGAACGATAATGTTTCGTTTCTTTCTCTCTCTCTCTCTCTGTCCCTCCCTCTCTATCTCTATCTTACGTCATTGTACACTCGGGGGAATAAGTGAATTTGTTTTAGGCTCGATTTTACCGATTATGTATTGATTTGTCTTACATATTTAAATACCTAAACAATAAAAAATATTTTTAAGAGTTAAGCTAATGAAGTTATTTCTTAGCATCGGATACAACCCTTCCTGCGCGAGTCCAACTCTCACGTGGCCGGTGTTTTTTTTTTATAATTAGTTGTTAGCAGTTTGATAAAACTAGGAAAAAAACTTCAGTTATTAAGAATATTCAGTTGAGATTTTGTACTTTTCCCAATTCAGAAAGCGGCTCTTTGTCGACATTTCTTCTTGTAAGACGCTTTTAAGATACCTAAGTGTAGTGCACATAATTAACTCTAAGGTAGCAATCCACTTTACTTGACACAATTTACTTGCAGTAAGAGTAAGTGGTTGAAACCATAATCGGGAATGATCATATTCCCGATTAAGGTTCATATTCCATTTTAAGTCTGATCTTTTTATTGTAAAATTATTAGAAATGAAATAAATTGACCATAAACACTATTGAAATATGTACACGAATATTGATCAATGTTTCAATTTATTCCCCGACGGTATCTGCGCTGACGTCATATTAGATTTACTTTCGTAACAGAAGATTGTAGGTACGAGTACCAGGTTATCATGATTTAAAGACACGATGTGTAAAAATTCTTTTTCAAAGATGATGCAGCTACAGATAGACAAAGTTACCTGGAAGAGACTCAGTGATATACGTCGCCTACTTTCATAATATTGTAATTATTTTCATAAAAATGAAACTACCTAATTATGAAAAAAAAAATTGTTCGTGCAATAACGAATATTCTACTTATCTAGAGGTCGCGATATTTCTTCTTCCTCTGCTTCTCTATTTGTTTAGATTAGATGAAATTGATTTTATGAGTACATTATTGAGTGACGTGTCGTAGCATTAATTATAAAGATTATTATTTTGGATGGGCCGTCTACAGTTCGTAAAGAGATATTGTACGAGCATTTCAGGCGAAAGTATTTAATGCAGTGCAGTGACCATAGTGTACTGTTTATTGTTTGTTTCCGTGCCTGATATGTGCGTAGCACGAGCATAGTAATATGGCAAGGTATATTGGAAAGGGAGCTCTAATCTGAATAAAAACGAATTTTGGAAAAAAAAAAGTAGCGCAACACCCGCGTCTGTTGTCGAACGACCCTTGGTAAAACCGTATTGCTTAGTATGCAATAGTTCGTTGGAATTAAAGTTAGGATATTAATTGTTCCAGAATAAGTTTTTCAAAAATCTTGCTTAGTGTCGGTAGAATTGAAATGGGTCTATAATTACTAGGATCCTGTTTATTACCAGCTTTAAAAAGAGGAATGACTTTACTAAATTTCATGAGATCAGGGAAAATACCCTCATCAATACAGTGATTGAAAATATTAGCGAGATAGGAAGCAATTATATTAATTATACTCTTAATTATATTCACTGATATACCCCATAAGTCACGAATGTTTTTTATTTTTATTGATCTGAAGCCTTTAATAACATCTAATGAATGAATATATTTGAACTTAAATAAGGTATCACATTTAGATACACATTTCCTAAGCATAGCCATTGCTGCCTCTGGTGAAGAATTCAAATTAAAAGTTGTCTCGATCGGTTTATTTATGAAAAAAATCATCAAAAATATTGGCGATCAGTTCAGGAGTTTTAATAAGCTCGTTTTTGAAAGTAAGTGTATTGGCACACATCGCCATGTGGTCTATTTTTACCAGTTTCACGATTGATAATATTCCAAGTAGTTTTTATTTTATTATAGGAATTTTTAATTTTGTTTCTTATAAAATTTGACTTCGCCAATGCACATACTTTTTTGAATAATTTGGAGTAAGCTTTTACATAATCTATTATTTTTTCAGAATGGTTATACTTTCTAAGATTGTACAACTCATATAGCCTGTTTCTGCTTTTATAAATACCAGTCGTAGCCCAGTCACAAAACTGTAGTTTCTGCGTAGTAATTTTCTTCGTTTTAGAAGGGAAAGTTCGATCGAATTCATTCTTTATGACATGAAAAAGGTTACTATAAAGTATATCTGGGTCGTCATGTGACCATGACATCTGCACGATTTTCTCATCTATATTTAGTTGAAAATTATTTAAGCGTTTATTATTAAATGGTCTAACTTCTATTATTTTAGGTTCATTAGGAACCTTTATCTCGTAAGTAACTTTTAAGCCATAATGATCAGATTAAATATTATTAAAAACTAATTTGTTTGCTGGGTTGCGTTCTGAAAAAATATTATCCAAACAAGTAGCTGAATTCGCAGTCACTCTTGTCGGTTCATGAAATTGATTTGTTAAATTAAAACATTTGAACAAAGAGACAAAACGATCGGATGTTATACTGGGTTTGAGAAGATCTATGTTATAATCACCACATACAACTAAAAATTTGTTTTTTGAGTCTAACTTTTTAAGAACATCCTCCATCACTAACTCAAAAACACTATAATTACCTTTGGGGGGTCGGTATACACATACTATAATTAAATTACTTAATTCTACACACTACTAAGTTCAATATCTCGTTCTACCGTTATTTCTACGATATCTTTTCGTTCCTTAGATTTTACAATATCACTAACCAATATCAATGATCCACCGCATTTTGCTCCCCGACGTACGTATGAACTTTGCATATCAAAATTATTTAAATAAAACGACATTTCACTAAGTTGCAGCCAATGTTCTGTTAAACAATTTGTATATCGTTCGATTGAATAAATAACTCTTATTCTAAGTCTTTGCCGGCCAAACACTGTATATTTTGATGCATTTATTAATATATTTAGCCTTTGTCTTACTTTTCAGTTTAAAACTGAATTTGTCAAATTAACATTTACATTAGTAGAATTACTAATACAAAAATTATTCTGTGTTATATCATATACAACAGAATCTTGTAAATTAAAAGCTAACAAAGTAGCGATTTCGGTCTTAAATGATTTAGTCAGATACATATTATCTTTTGTCAGATTTTTTTTTAATATACTTATTAATATCAAAAAATAAAATAACGTCACTATGACGAGATATCATATTATATAATGTCAAATTTAATTTATGTATGCGCATGTTTTGTTCCTTAATGTAGTTTTTGACATATAGAAAGCTGCTTATTATTATTTTACAATTTGATTCAGATTGTAATTTTAGTAAGTTATCAATACTTTTTACATGACCCTGTATTGATGATGATGAGCTATTACCACACAACATAATTAAAGTGGTGGCACTATCTAGTTCATTTTTGCTCAGATTTTTTACTATATTGTTAAATGATCGACCTGGAGAGCAATATTTATGAAGTTTTGTGCTAACTTGTTTTTGACAGCCGAACCAAGACCTTGGCCCAGATTGTCAGAAAACATTATTGTTTTGCTACTTTTTGAGTCATAAGACAATGCTGGTTTGAAAGGGCATGTATTATATGTTGTACCTAGATAGATGAGACAGATGACTGACCGAGATCATGAGTAATTTCATTAATTTTTGGTACTACATTTATAACGGAATGATTAGAAAAAGAAGAATGATTTATAGTACTTATTTGTTGATTTTTTAATAATGACTCATATCGCTCTGCATTATAGTTGCATAAATCAACTAACTCTGATGCAGACTTAATGTGCTCATTAATTTGTTTCTGTGCACTTGAATATTTACTTTCCATATTCTCTAGAGATTCATGCAACTTTTCAATCTGAGAATGTAACTGTCTAGTATCTCGGTCATACATCTCCCTTCTCTCTGTCAATTTGGTACTATAAATTTCCAGTGAGTCGATGAGGCTATTTTTTACCTTCCTGAGAGCAATGGTTTTATAGACACAGTTGTTTTTCTTATTAAGTTTCTCAGTTTTTTAATGAACTTGCTGATACGAACATATCTTTTAATCTTCTTAGTACTTTGTGTATGGTGATGTAAAACAACACTATCAGATCTTATTGCAAACTGGGTAGATGGTGCTCCAGGTGTTGCCATCAGCTCCTCAAACAGACTACGAGTGTTAAGCGATTGTGCTTCCTCATACTCTGTAATTTGAGAGTTTGCAATGCTCAGTTCCTGTTCTAGCTCAGTGATGCGCTGAAGGGCTCTCTCATACATCTTGCAATCCTTGTCAAAACTACTTAAGGTGTCACGTAGTTCAACTTGCTGAAGAAGCACTTCTTCATGCTGCAAATGTAGCTGTGCAAGTTCACTTTTCAATAATGTGTTCTTATTTATAATTTTCTTGATCTCTTCTTCACTCTCATCACGTTCTCGAAGAAGCTGACTACATTACATGTGTCCTTACAACGTTTCAGTTCTTCCAATGTTTGCCGCAGCTTTATTTCAGTGTTTTGTGCTGTAGCTTTACGGGTCATCATTTTCAATTGGGAGATTGTTAATTATTCTCTGAAAGCAGTTAAAAAGTTTCACAATTAACTAATTCTATTCTAAATAAGAATCTTATTCATTAGAAATTATGAAAGAATTGATTTAAAGTATAATAGTATTCAATAGGTGGGTAGACAAAAAATAATATTACTAATTATTTATGCAATTAAGTTTAACAAAATATAAGAAAAAGTTTCACTTTAAAATCCAATGACCAATTAATTATAATTATGAATTTAATATACATGTGTACCCCTCTCATATGATTACTTATAATTGCTTTTTCTTAAATAATTTAATCTATATGTATTATTACAAGATTATTATTCACAGCAATGACTTGTCTTCTTAATTCCATACACCAGCATCAAAAAAAAAAATTCTTAATCTTAGTTCATTTCTTAATCTGTGATTAATTGAATGTTAATTATGCAAGTATATTGTTTGTAAAGAGTAGGAGTAATGAATGTCTGTGGCAACTCGGTCACCATCAACTTTACTTCCACTTTATGTCAAGTAAAGAGAGGTTAACAGTACCAAATTGTTATGATTTGGGACGTTGTTCACTATACGTAAGTTCTGATAAGTGTTGTGATAAGTTTGAAAATGAAGGTCTTGAGAAACCAGAATGTCACATGTAAAAACGATTATTAGGAAGTATTAAGTTAAATATATTACAAAGAACGATTAATTGCTGAATCCATAATTGTAATTAAAATTTGCAAATTACTTTAAATCTTGACAATATATGATAGGTGCTAAGAAAAAAGAAATAATATGGAATTCAATTGTAACAAAAACCAAAGTAACAACCGTAATAATTAATATGTGTATATGAAAAACAATACTCCCCAGGTTTCAGAAGTAGAAGTCCAAATAAATTTATTGGTATTTGTTTTGAATAGCTGATTCAAAAATCTTCCAGTCCGTTGACAGTTTGCCAAGGTTTATTTCGATGAATATTCAACACATATGTAATTTTACACTAAGATATCACTGCCATATATTAACTATGATGCATATTCACTATTACTATCAAAATTTACTTATTTAAAACTGAATAAATAATTAAATTATAATTTTAAATACGGACAAAAACATTAGACAAGAGAGGCGACCAGAGTTCAGGAACGATTGTTTTGAACTTTTGAACGAAAAGTTGTTTGGATATTAATGAAGTATGTTCAGAATTAAATGCAAAGCATTTTGACCATTAATCGAGTAGATATTAGATAAAAAATAGCCTGGGTCGTTCGTGGACAGATCTGTCCTTAGGCATACGGGCTACATGGACATATATGTCCTAATGCACACCAAAGCCACCACCGCATAAAGGCCGCAGACCCTAAGGTCTTTGGTTTTGAAGATGTCCCGCGCTGTGGGGACATTCTGGAGGATGATCAGAGCCAGAGGGAAGGGCCTCCCGGCTCTGTTGTGCATTTTATGCACTGACTCCACTGGGAAGCCTTGGTTAACCAGATCCTTTTGGATCTGTTCGGTTGGGAGTTCGTATGGTACATTACGGAGTACTACACGAACTTTAGGCTCCTCAGGGAGGGTATATGTGTGGTAACCCACCTTATGATGGGTTAGAAATTTGGTGAGGGCTCTTAAGTCCCCACTTGTGCGTGTTTCCACCCGGATAGCTATGCCCATGTTTTTAGCATGGGTGTAGTTGATTTTGTTGTTTGAACAGAGGCTGAAAACCTCTGTCCATCTCGTCTTATCTCGTACAAAGACGGGCTGAGGTAATTTGGATTTTGCAGGCTTTAGATCGCATGTATTATGAGGGCGGGAGGGGGGCGGGGTAACGTTGTGAGACGATGACGCAGAGGCTCTCTCTACGGTATTGACTCGGTTTACCTCTTGACTAATAGCGGCCTTCTAGCCGGTATTGCCTGCGGAGGGTACCCTGTCGAGTTTGATCGACATGAGGGGCAGAGGGGAGGGGGGGTTCATCACAGTTGATGCGTGCGGGGGGCGTGGAGGCGGGTATTGTGATTGGGGCACTCATAATGGTGCATATGACGGGTCGGTGGTCTGAAGGTAGGTCCATGCTGACTTCCTGAGTGATGTTAAAGTTGACTTGGTTAAAAATTATTATGTCGAGGGTCTCGCCGTTACCAGAGGGGTCATAGCGAGTTGGTTCATCCGGGGCTGTTACGTGGTAATTGTGGTCGATCGTGTCCTGGAGTAGTACACGGCCGGCCACATTGTTACTAGTGGAACGCCATGCTGTGTGTTTTGCAAACATGTCACCGGCGATGATTGTAGGCGATGCTTGCAGGAGGTTTCTAATTTCTCTGGGGTCTGGGTGACCCGGCGGTTTAAATGCAGCGTATAATCTCAGTGCGGCTCCTCCGATGCTTATGTCTACGCCGAGCGCGTAGAATGATTGTGTCCGGGTTTTGGGGGCCTCTTGATGAATGATTTTCCTGTGGACCAGTACTAGGAGGCCTCTGATGGACGTTCCGTCGATGGGGGACGCTTCGTCTTGTCTATATGCCGTGTAGTTTGGAATCTTGAAGGAGATTGACGGGTTTAGCCTTGTTTCACTCACGAGTGCGATGTCAATGCGGTTTGTGCGAAGGAAGTTTTCTAGCATTCTTCGCTTGCCCGTGAGTGTCTGGGCGTTCCAGTGGACTATCCTTAAAGGTTTAAATGGGCCGCCAGTAGTTGCAGGAAGCATGTCTGGAATTGCTCGACGATCTCCTTGGAGGTTTGGGCGAGCAATAGTTTGATGTTTGGTGCGATACCCTTAGAAGTGGTAGGTACGCTGTCGGTAGTGTCGGTTGTTCTCTTCTTCTGGCGACGCTTTGTAGGTGGCTGCGGTCGATTCGGTAGTGGAGATGGTAAGTTGTCTTGAGGTGGGGGGATTAGCGGGAGCCATTAAAGTAGAGGGCGCTGTTTCGCTCATCTCAGGCTTGCGGATGGTAGCGTTGGTAATTGGGCCGGTTTTAGCGACGAGTCCGGCCCTTTTATTTCGTTTGCTCACTTGTGAGCCGGGCAGCTGGAGTGGTTAGCCGGGTGCGGGCCTCCGCAATTCGCACATGTTGCGGGCTCCGTTCTGGGTCTAGGGCAGTCAGCGGCGGTGTGTTACCTTCCGCATCGGACGCAGGCAAAGGGACGATGGCATCCCATAGATGAGTGTCTAAAGCCTTGGCAGCGGTGGCATTGGGCTGGGCCATTCTTGCCGCGCCATGCCTCAATGGTGATACCGGGCATGCTCAGCAACTCGTTTATTTCGTATATGGCTGGTATCAGGCCGGGTGAGCGAGCGAGGGCGACGAAAAATATACAGCCCGGGAGTCCAGCTCTCGCCTGGATGAGTTTCACGTGCTCTACCGTGTGTCCTTTGTCGGCTAGGGCACTGGAGATTAGGTGCGGTTCGGTGTGGTAGGGAAGGTCACGTATAGCGACTTTCAGGCTGCGGTCCTCGGGGAGTGCGTAGGAGTACCAGCTGATGCCTGCTTCTTTCTCCAGATCTGTGAGATATGCCTGGATCAGTCGGTATTCATCTCCATCCTCTGGGGTAAATCTTATGCCCGTTCCGAAGGGGCGAGCCTTCGGCGGGCGTCCGAGACGGTTTCGAATGGCTTTTTTTTTTTTTCGGTTCTCGACCTTATGGGCTCGGAACCACCTTCCCATCAACGGAGGAAGGAGGCGGTGAATCCTTCATTGGATACCAACACAGCCGGCTGTGAGGGTTATGTCAGACTCCTACTGACTAAACACCGCCTTAGACTACTGGTTGCGTGCCCTGACGGGGCATCGAACCTTCACCGGAGCGACTGCCCCCCCGCAAGGGGGGGGGCAGCGCAGACGTCCCTATTCACTTACATGAATAGTGACGTCGAGATGTATAGCCGTTAACCCCGGGGGGCTCGGCACATCGGATTGAAATACAGCTGACTCCCTGAAGGGGAACGATCAGCCAGAGTTGATGGGGGTTGACCTGAAGGGTCGTGGAGGGCAGGGGGGGAGCTATCACGTACCATCAGAAGGGTGCTACGTGATGCCCTTAAAAGTGCGGCCGCTACCCTGAAGGGATAGCGGTCGAAGTGGACGGAGACGCGGGTTGACCTGAAGGGTCGGGAGGGGTAGGAGCGGGATCCGCTTGCTGGGCCTCCAGGAGGAGGTCCAGGTCGGCGGAAAGTTTGGATGGCGGATCGGTGAGGACGGATTTGGGTCTACGGGCGAGAGGAGAGGAGGAGGAGGGCGGCACATAGTCCGCGGCGGAACGGATGAGGGGATTGGGGTGATCCTCTGCCGCTTTGAAGAAGCGTTCAGAGGCTTTGATGCACCACTGTTGGATAGTGGGAACATCGAGGTCCCTATGTAGATCCGCGTTGCGGATGTAGTAAGGGGCGTTTGCCGCTCGGCGGCAAAAGAGATTTTGCACTATTTGCAATTTGTAAAGGACTTTGGGGTCGGCATGGGCGAATACGGTAGAGGCGTACGTCATCACCGGACGTATACAGACCTTGTAAAGCGTTCGCTTATTTCGAAGGGACATTTTACTATGTCGGCCCAGCATAGGGCTGAGTCGAAATAGAAAACGTCGAGCTGTCTGTGTGACTCTGTTGACGTGAGGAACAAAGGAGAGCCTTTGATCGAGTGTCACGCCGAGGTATTTGGTGGATTTTTGCCAGGGAATGCGTTTTCCTAGCATTCTAGGCGGAGGATATTTGGGAGGGAGGCGGCGTCGCTTAGCGTCGAAGCAAACT